GCTGGATAGCGGCGTGTAATTAAAAATGGGTGCTCGATTTCGTTGCATTCATTTACTCCCAAATAAACTGTTTTTTTAATCGATTTCACCGGAAGGAAGACATTAAAGCCACTAAGATATGAATGATTACTGGTTGTGGAACAATTAGAAAACATAAATATTACTAAGTAGCGAATTTGCTGAATATATATTTTTTTTTTCAAAAATGTATTGCTTTTAATATTCCTTTCTTCAAAAATGTGTTGCTGGTAATATTTTTTTCTTCAAAAATAAATTGCTGATAATGATTTTTTTTCTTTAAAAATGTTTCACTGGTAAAATAATTTTTTACTTCAAAAATATATTGCAGGTAATAATTATTTTTTTTTAAAAATCATTGCTGGTAGTAATTTTACAAAAATGTATTGTTTGTATTAAAACCTATTTTTACACTTTGATAGTATTTTGACCCAAGTTTGGGTGTTACCTATTTGCGCATAGCTGGGACCCTAGGAACAACAGCAATTAAGAAGTGGTCCCATGCTCCTCAAACCTCCTGATCAGAGGACTCGTTGTTGGATGTAGTTTATCGCCATAACCACAGGACACGAATTTAGTTTATCGCCTTTCCTAGAACGGAGATAATAAAGAAAAATATGTATGAAATCTTACAAACCTGTTTATTCATCAATGTTTTCATAATTACCCTTTTTAACTCACAATATCATGCCGGGCCATCCTATCAATTGTCTTGTTCGGTACGCGCAAATGGCCCACTGTGTGGACTGATCACTTATTTAGCAAACAATAATGCGAACAATAAACAAGAAATAACATTCATTATATTTAAGGACATCACTTAAATATTCTATCTCAGAATAAATGAATGATTGACTGATTTGTTTGTTTAACGGCATGTCAACAAATTATGGGTCATTTAATGCCGTAAGTTAATTTCAACATTTGTGCTTATACATGTTTGTGTAAACATGATTACCATACATACATAATGTGTGTATTTTATGTTCTTGTTTTTTAAAAGTTAATTTTAGAAATACTGGTTGATTTAAAAAATTGTAGGATAATATACAAAGAAATACCATGAAGGAGTTTTTTCACGTTGGTTGACTGGTTGATTGATCTTGTTTGGCAGTACAGCATCCTCTATAGTTTTTTTTTTAATACCGAAATCGAAATATTTAGTACGTAAATTTATACTTTCAACTACCGATATTTTGTAAATAATATTATATGTTCAAAATACCGTCATGTTTTTTAGATTCATATTTTGTAGATCATAAAATGGTTTGTTGGCAAGGTTAATATAAAAATATACTTTTATATTTTAGTGTTGCTTTGGCTGTCATTTTCCTATAAATACAGTGCTGTTCGATAAAAGTGACTCACCTGATTTTTTTTTAATAAATGTTCTCTTCTCCAATGAAACGAAAGTAGAGCTAAATTTATGGGATAAGCGATCTAAATTGATGGAGCATGTTGCTCAACTGCTTTCTCGAGAGCCGGTATTTATAATGCTCCATAAGTTTTCTATGGGGTTGAAGTCAGGAGAATGGGGCGGCCATGTTATAACACTCACCTGCTTCTCATCAAAGTATTCCTTCATCAATTTTGATTTGTGACAAGGAGCATTATCCTGCATAAAAATGAGGTTGGTGGGGTCGATTTGCACCCTTTCAGCAGAAGGGAGCAGATAAAACTCTAAAATTCTCTTGTACAGCTCGCTCCTGAGCGTCTTTTCAATAGAAAATTACCATACCACACCAAAATATCTGAACAAAATTAAAACCCTTGAGAGTGGAGCCGTAAACGCTGCTCAAATTATACAGATCATTAATTCAATCCGAGCTGGCCTATGGAAACTTCCTATATCAGTGTTGAGTGTTGAGTGTTTCCGCGTGCGTGTATTGAAATAAGGACAAACACATACGTAGGGAAAAATACTGGTATATCTGAAGAGGTATTTACAACAGAGAGATTAGTAGTCAAACCATTTCCATGCAAAGAAAAGCATCCCCAGAACATTATACTGAACGGATGCTTGACAGTACTTACTGCTAAATTCAAAGAGCTTTCAAAGTTTCTTCTTCGGATTTTAGATCGCTTATCCTTTGAATTTAGCTCAACTTTCGTTTCATCGGAGAAGAGAACATTTAGTAAAAGGAATCAAGTGAGTCACTTTTATCGAACAGCACTGTATGTAGTGGTTGTCATTTTATTATAAAAATGTACTTTAATTTTTTTTTGGGGGTTTTTTCACTTTTTTCTCATAGCTGGGACCATAGCAAGAGCTACCACCTCGTTTCAGGTTTGATCTGGGAACAACAGCATTAAAGAGGTGGTTCCACGCTCATCAAAACCTCCAATATCCCGACCAGAGGCCTAGCCGCTTGATGTAGCTTATCGTTATAATATCATGTTATCGTGTAAAATTAAAAAAAAAAAGATTTATATCTGCGTTAGGTAAATGGGTTTACAAGAAGTAAGCAGATATTTAGAAGATCATGATAATAGAATTTACAAGAAGGGAGATTTCTTATTTTCTCAAATTACATCAGAATAACGCACGTATAGTTATCAAAATAATATCGCTGTGTCTATGAAATAAATGATATCATTCGACTATCCAGGAAAACATTTTACTCTAGAAGTCCAACTACCTGCCTATTAGTGTACTACCTCATTTTGGGAAAATGTTAGGGGTTCTAAATAATGCTGAATTGGTTCATCATCTCTCATCGCATTGTCTTTTCTCAGATAATTAATACAGCTTTCGTTTGTCCAAATCAACTGCTGATGTACTAACGATAATTGCGGAAAGTGTCTATCGTGCGCTAGGTAAAAAATAACGGTGAAGCCAGCGATGTAGAATTAAACTTCTCGAAAGCGTTTGACAGTGTTTGGCATTCAGGTCTTCTTCACAAACTAAAAATGTACGGTATGTCAAGCCGCATTTTTGAACTGTTCCAGTCAATCCTATCTAATGGTTAAATTAAAGTGGTCCTGAACGCTCGCAAATCTAGAGGATTTCATATTAACTCGGTTGTCTCCAGGATATCCATCCTTGGATAAAACTCTGTTTTTAATCTTCATTAATGACCTTCCCGATGACATCAGTTCGAATACGGCGGAAGAAGTGCATATATTATATATATATATATATATATATATATATATATATATAACAGACATGACAGAATTGAACAGACACCAAGATAAATTTTATTTCTGATTTTTTTAATAACCAAGATAAATTAAATTAGATTATTTGATTAAAATTGCAGATAACAATACTGGAACATGCCACGAACCAAAGGAGCATCAGATTAAAAGAATCGAATTTTATAATGAGGCCAACATGAAGGTGGTCCTAGTAAAAGAAAAATATCAAAAATCTTTCAATACCCTTTCTACTGTTAATAGAGTGATCGTACAATTCACCAGAGAGGGCAAGAAGTGCACAAAACCTCATACAGGCCGCCCTGGGCCCTCTGAATGAACCATGCGTCTTGTCGATAGAAATGTTGAACAGGATCCATGTTGCAAGGCCTCTGGCATAGGAACACAAGTTGATGTCAGTCCCAGAACAGCTGTCAGGTATCTTCACAAGCTGGGCTACTATGGCAGAGCTGTGAGAAGGAAACCACTTCTCCGTTCAGCCAATATAAACGCAGAAAAGATTGGGCTGATGAGATGGTGGGGAGACCTGTGACCTTTTGGACCACTGTCATTTTCCCTGATGAGTCAAGATTCGCATTATTTTCCGAGAGTGGAAGAGTATGGGTATGGAGACTCTGTAGTCAAGAGTTTGATTTAAAAAGACTGCAAATAAACGGTGAAACATGGAGGCCTTTCAGTAATGGTATGGGGTGCAATTTGGAGTGATGGTCACTCAGAGCTTGTGGAGTGTGAAGGAAACATTAATTCAACCAAATATATTTCTATATTAACGAAAGGGATCCTTCCAATATTCTCAAGTAGTAGAATGAGCAAAATTAACTCACTATTTATAGAAGATAGAGCTCCATGTCACACTGCTCAAGCAACGCAACATTGGATCAATAAACTTCCATGGCCAAGTCATTCCCCGGATATTAACCCTATTGAACACCTTTGGGTCATATTAGACTGAAAACTCCACAAAAAGAACAGGAATCCATCTTCTAAGTCCAAAATTTTAAGATTACTGCGTCAAACATGGCAAGAAATCCCTCAAGATGATATTTGTGAACTCATCGCTAGCATGCCTAGACGGGTCCTTGCATTAAAAAAAGCAAAATTGATGACAACCAAGTATTAGTTATTAAATTTATGACCATTTATATTTAATTCATTTGTATAAATTACTTGTTTAAAAGAATAAACGGTTTCTGTGAGCGTCTATTCAATTCTGTCATGTCTGTATACACACACACACACACATATATATATATATATATATATATATATATATATATATATATATATATATATAGTGAACAATAAAATATATAAAAATTAAAAACTTCAGACACACTGGGTTGTATATTAATATCTTTTTCGTTTTATTATTATTTCATTTAGATTCTGAATCTTGTTTTGGCCAACATGGCCATCATCAGGAGAAAAAAAAACTGCTTGCCGTTAGCAGTAAACTCCAGAAATTAATGTCTTGATGGAGAAAATGGACTTTTGTCTGTTTTTTTCATTTTTGTATTATTTTTTAAACATTTTGGTCAGTCCTTGTGTTGGTCAAACAGTCTCTTTTAAGTTGTTATTTAAGATAATAAGCATATACAGACAATCATACATACATACATACATATATATATATATATATATATATATATATATATATATATATATATATATAATGGTTGTATACATATACATATACACACACACACACACACACACACACACACACATATATATATATATATATATATATATATATATATATATATATATATGATTTGAAAATAGAGACAACAGAAATGATTGTTAGAAAAGAAAGATCAAACGTGCTAAGATAAAAATGAGAGAGATCGAAAAGAGAGGATAGAATGGAGAGATAGATGGAAAAAGTGAGTGTGTGATAGTAACAGTGGAATCAAAAGGAGAAAGATAGAGAGAAGGAAAAAGAGGGAAAGTGAATTGCAGTGGGAAGAACACGCCGAAGGGAGATGAATGGAGAGATAAAGAAAGGTAGAGTGAGAAATCAGAAAAGAAATGAAAAATACCCAGGCGTGCGCGCACGCACACACACACGCACAAACTCACAATATCACAGAGAAATTGACATATACAAACTTACACTGACGTACACGCATATGTATGTGCGTATTTGTTTGCGTGTGTATAATGCCATAAATACTTAACATTTTTTGATTATCAACTTGATTCTCCAAGAAATAAAATACAATTAGATTTCATTCACGTGCGTATTAATCATTCTGTGAAGTAATGTTTTTCTCAGCGGAGCCTAGATGTCTAACATAGCAGAAAGTATGTGACACCTAATGAGTATCGATCTTAATATTCAGTCGTCATTGAAGCCATGTTGATTTTTCTGTACGACGTACCGCTGCAGGCTAGGGACGTCCATCTCCGCGCTTTACATCACCACTGCTATAAAAATTCACGTGACACTTGTGACATAATCTCAACGAAAAAGAGATAATCGTCTTTGGTATCCTCCATTAAAAGAGTTTTTAAAAAGCTGTTCTTTAATCCACTGTGTTCGATGCCAATAGCATAGGACAATGCACTCCAAATGTATTCTTAAATACTACGTGTTATTAATAAATAGTATATATATTATCTCTATTGGTTTCAACAATTGTAGTTAAGCAATGTGTGAATTTGTAATTTTCTTGGCAAATTTGGATCTGGCTGAGTCATCTATGTTTCAAACAAAGGAAACAAGATACAATAAAACTTATTTAATATTAAACTATCTCTCTCTCTCTCTCTCTCTCTCTCTCTCTCTCACTCTCTGTACGCACACACACACAAACACACACACAAACACACACACACAAACACACACATATATATATATATGTATGTGTGTGTATCTGTGTATGTGTGTGTACATTGAATTCAACACTCAGAGGCGACAGGCTGTTTCATGATAGACGCAGTCGTCAGGCCTCTGAATGTTGGCTTTTATAAATTTATTTACATACGCTCTATCTCTGACATTGAGCACTTTATCCCATAAATATAGCACACCTTAAAACTATATTTCTTTACACACACACACAAACACACACACACACACACACACACATCAATGTGTGTTTAATTGATGATTGATTGTTTTGTTTATGTGTAATTTGTGTGTGTGTGTGTGTGTGTGTGCATGCAAAAATACTAGAGGAACATGAAGAACATTGCAGATTTTACGTCTCAAAACACTTTGTCCAGACTGGCTTAACCACAGATTAAATAACACAGATTGAATTAATATATAATCCCATAGACCAAACCTGTCTGTTGTGGTAAGATCCACCTAATTTACATGGTGGAGTACCGACCATATAAATATGGTTGGTACCGGGAAGAGAAGTAGAAGGAATCAAGAGATTCAATCCAGAGACTCTGCCCGACTGTGACTAAGTCAACACATTCTCCAGGAACGGTCTTCCCAGGAATATACAAAAGACTATATGTAAATATTGTGTACACTTTCTTGTTTCAATACATTTTGTTCTAAGTACATTTTGTGTTGCATTATTATTCCATGCATTAGTCAAGTTTCAACAATGGCGACGAGGTAGTAAGAACTTTACGGAAAAAAAAGAATTGATAATTGATAGCCTTCAACAAATGGGACAAGTCTTTTAAGAACCCAGGCTGAAGGAAAAAATTATTAATTACATGTCCAACATCTAATGGAACGGCAAAGGAATCTGAAGTTTGGATATTTGAAACTTGTTAAAGGACGACTAAGCATAAAGGAACAATCTCTCAGAAAAATCTGACAGGTGGAGTAAACGAATAACGGTGAATTAAAAAAAAAAAAGAAAAAAAAAACTGGCCGACTACAAAAACATGTATGGAGTTAAAAGTCGCATAAATACGCCGTGTCGACTTTGAAAGGTAACAAACTTTAAAAAAAAAAAAAATTCATTTTTTTTTTTTTGGTTGCTCAACAATATTTTATAAAGCAAGACATAAAATAAAAAAAGTCGTAAGTTGTTTCGATTTTTTTGGTCAGCTTATATTATATTAGTGGATACACAAATTAAAAGTATATTCTTTGTGCATGAACACTATCAGCTAAAGATGGATGAATTATCCGAAGTCATATCTGAATTATTCAAAGCCCAGCAGTTGAGTCTGCAACGTCAAAATGAAGAGTTTGCCTTATTAATAAGGGAACAACAGAAAAGACAGCAGGAATATCAAGAAAAGCAAGAGGAAAGACTGGAAAAACAGGAAGAAATGCAGATCAAGGTTTTAGAAATTCAAAAGTTAACACTGGAGAAATTAAACAACAATCAGGCAAATGAAGGAAATTCTTCATATTCTAATAACATCATATTTAATTCGCTGGAAACTTTCAACTATGTGCCAGACGAAAGAAAAACGTTTGAAGCGTACTTTAAACGATATGAAGATATTTTCTACACAGACTAGGTACAGCAGAACATAGCAAATTTGTAGATTTTATTCTACCGAGGAGAACAAATGAATTGGAATTCTCGGAAACAGTGACATTGCTAAAAGAGTTGTTTGGAGCAAATATGTCGCTTTGGCATAAGCGATGGTTATGCATGAATGTCGCTAAATCCGACGATCAGGATTACTTAACATATGCATCTATAGTGAATAGACATTGTGAAAATTTCATATTGGCAGAGATTTTTGCTCAAGGACTGGTATCCAGTAAGAGTGCCGAAATAAGACGTAGAGTTTTGTCTAAACTCGAATCTGAACAAAACCTTACCCTGCAAAAGTTAGCAGAGGAGTGTCAGCGGGCCGTAAGTTTAAAGAAAGAGTGTCAAAAAATCGAAGAAGCTGGCATTGCTTATATTAAAAAAATAAAAAAAAAACAGTCAAATTACCCATCAGAAAAACATTGGAGTAAAAATTCGGGGTATTTTAAAAATAGACAAGAAAAATTAAATGAAAAGGACGAGGAGAAAAAAAAAGTTCCACCATATAATTGTAGACGGTGCAACGAAAGACACTGGGAGGTAAATTGCCCATATAGAAATAAAAAATGTTTCGTGTGCCACAAGAATGGTCACAAAGGGTCGTGGTGTAAAACGAAAAATGTCAATAGCCGAATTAGACAAACAAATTCAAATATCAAATCAGATAGAGATTTGAGGAAGTATGTGACGACTGAAATATTTAAAAAGAATATCAAATTTCAACTCGATTCGGGTTCAGATTTAACAATAATGAACTATAAAACATGGAAAATTTTAAAAAAGGCCTACAATAATGAAGTCAACGAAACGCGCTCGAACAGTAACTGGAAAGGAAATTAACTTCGAAGGCGAGGTTGTACTTCCCATGAAATTGAACGGGATAGTTAAAAAAATAAAAGTTTTCATTCTGAAAAATGGAGAAAACTTGATGGGTACAGATTTTATTGAAACATTCGAATTGTGGGATAAACCGTTAAACTCATTCTGCAGAAAAGTAGAAAGTAATACGCAAACAAGACAGGACATTAAAGAGGAATTAAAGAAAAAGTTTCCGGAAACCTTCACACCTGGTCTAGGAAGATGTAACAAGTTTAAAGCCAAATTTGAATTAAAGGAAAATACTATGCCAATTTTTAAAAAGAAACGTAACGTGCATTTCGCAAGTGTAGAGAAAATTAACGAAGAACTTGATAGGTTGGAAAAAATGGGAATTATTTCGAAAGTAGAATCTAATTCATGGGCTGCGCCGATTGTGTGTATAAAAAAGAAATCAAACCAAGTCAGAGACTGCGTCGATTTTTCGACAGGGTTGAACTCGGTAATTAAGGACTACCATTACCCGTTACCGAGCTAGGAGGAGATTTTTAACAAGCTAAATGGTGGAGTTATATTTTCAAAAATCGACTTATCAGATGCCTATCTCCAAATTCCCGTCGAAGAGGAATGTTCGAAGTTACTAGGGCTAAACATGCATAGAGGGTTATTCAAGTACAACAGGCTTTCTTTTTGGTATTAAAGTGGCACTAGCGATTTTTCAACAAGCTATGGACGTCATGTTGAATGATTTAGACTTTGCGTGCGCTTACTTAGACGACATCATAGTAAGGAGCGAAACCGTCGACGAACATCGAGAGCATCTCAATCAAGTATTTAAAAAGATTCAGGACTTTGGTTTTAAAGTCAAAGAGTCAAAGTGCGAATTTGGTTTGGAGGAAATTAGGTATTTAGGTCACATAATCAACAAAAATAGCAGATGTCCAGATCCGGAAAGGTCCATTGCGATTAGAGACATGCCGACGCCCACTAATATGGCGATGCTACAGAGTTTTCTGGGGCTTGCAAATTATTATCAAGCGTTCATTAAAGGAATGTACAATTTAAGAGCTCCGTTGAATGAACTGCTAAAAAAAGACAAGGCATGGGAATGGACGGTAGAATGTCAGAAAGCCTTTGGTGAAATAAAGAAAATGCTTACGTCCGACCTCTTTTTAACCCATTACAATCCAAAACTGGATATTGTAGTGGCAAGTGACGCCAGTTCATACGGGATAGGAGCGTGTATTCAACACATAATGCCAGATGGTTCTAGAAAACCAATTGCACATGCTTCGAGAACTTTACTTCCAGGAGAAAGAAGTTACTCTCAGATGGAAAAAGAGGCACTAAGTATCATTTATGTCATAACAAAATTTCATAGATACATCCACGGCTGACATTTTATCCTTGAAACGGATCATAAACCGCTGATCACTATTTTTGGTTCAAAGAAATGGTTACCCGTTTATAGAGCAAATCGTCTGTTAAGATGGGGAACCATTCTTCTCAATTATGATTTTCACATAAAGCACTTATCATCTAAAAATATAATTCATGCGGGTAGTTTATCAAGACTCGTACCGAGTCAAGAAGAAAGATTCGAATAATCAATTATTGCAAATATCAGAGCAGATTATGAGGTGAAAAGCATGGTAAACAACATTGTAAGAGAGCTACCGGTTACACTAAAGGAAATTAAAAAAGAAGCTGAAAGCGATGATTTCATTTAGAAATAAAAAAAGCAAAATGGTAGCAAATGACCAAAAAGTGCAGGAGATTTATTCAATAGGTGACG